AAGAATTGACGAATCAACAATTTATAAATTGGGTAAAGTTCTGGTGGAGAAATTGAAGCTCCTTATACAGTTGTTTGGACTATGGGTCAAGAAGGAGAATATAAGATTAAAATTGATACTTTCTAACACTTTTTTGAATTAGTTTACAAATATTTTTCAATTGAAAATTAAAGTTGCTATAAATCAACAATAAGGAAAGATTGTCGTACAATTCAATTAATAATCATAATTAGTAACCACACTAAAATGGAAAGCAAATTCTCATTATTCGAAACTCAAAAAAAATGCCACAATTACATGTAAATCCACTGCATCCTCCCAATCACACCAGAACAAGAGGAAATTCAGGTCCAACTCACCATCATCACTCGCACCACTCACACCATCACCCAACGTCAACACATCACACGAGACAAGTCAGTAATCCATCTCCACCTTCTAACAGCAGTCCAGATAACATAATTAAATTTATTTCTGATGAAGATGAAAAGCATAACTGTACAATGATCGGATATTCATTTGCATCCTTCTTGGTGTCAACTTTATTATCAGTGACATTGGCAGTTGTCATTGTTTTAGGAGCAATTTCAAGCAAGGCACCTAAAAATTGTTTTGTTTATAATTCTAATTATTTAACTACACTTTCAAGTATTGAAACTCTTTCTACTAATGACAGTTTTGTCATGACAAGAGACATGTTTTCACAAGGTCAATTTGTCATTGAAAAATACAATGATTTGAGTGGTGATTCAATTATTTCATTACTATCATCTGGAAAACTCTCTCAATACACAAAACAAAGCATTGGAAGTTTACAATTGAGAACTTGGAGTGTCCCCACAATGATGGATTTTATTTGGAATGATGGAAAGGGAATTTCATTTGCAATGGGTTCTTATTTTACTCTATCTGATACGATTCAGATTGGACATTATGATAATTCAGCTAGTTGTGTTCCTAGTGTGAGTTCCATTGTTGGATTGAATAGTGCAGATCAGGGAATTTTTGGTGGTTCTATAAAATTACAAGTTAACTCTGGAGTCAAGACTTATTATTTGAGAGATGCAAAGGGAGCGAATAGAGCAATGGTTCAGCAGAGGATTGATTTCATTTCCTATGAGATGCCAATTGTAAAATTGGATGGTTCCAATGAGGTAATTGCAGTGTTGAGAAGAAATATTTTACATCCCCAAGAACAATGGATTTTGACAGTATTGACACCATTGACTAGTTCTGAAATTGCTGATGGATTTGGATATTCTCAAATGTTGTATGTGGTTGGATACATGACTTTTAGAGACAAATAATGAGCTTATTGTAATAAATAAATTAATTTAATTCGAAGGGTGCGATTCTCTGAGTTCAGGGAATTTGGCTTCCAAAAGTCTCTTTTTGACTTGTCCAAACACTTCCTTGATATCATCGGTTTGTGTGGCACAACTCCAAAATGTGAAAATTCTATTAGGATCGAATCGGTTAGTACTCAAGTATTTGTTCTCAATAAACTTGACTGATTCCTCAAATTTATCTGGTCCAGTATATTCGTCAGCAAACAAGGTTCGAATGGATTTTTGTTGAAGTTTTCGTGTGAAAACATCAGTCTTGTTCAGTAGCAGTATTATTGGGGTATCTCTAAACCGTTCATCATTGATTGTTTTTGAAAATAAATCTATTGATTCTTGCATTCTATTAGTCTATTTTATATTCATAAATCAATATTTATAATACATAAATATAGTAAAATTAATTTGAAAGTAAAGCAAAAAAACTTACCAAATCATCTTCATAACATTTTTGATCAAAATCACTAAGACTGGCAACAAATATAATAGCATCAACTTCATCATAAGCATTAATCCATTTTCTTCTTTCTGGTCTTTGACCTCCAACATCAACAACTTTAAGTTTCTTTGTATTAAATTCGAATGTGACATCTGAAATACCTGTTGTCTTTTGTCTACAATATAAAATGTCAGTATCATTTGGTTTATAATCTGGTGGACGTAATCTCTCTAAATCCTTGAAAAAGTATGTAGCACCTAATTTGTTGTTATTACAATTGAAAGAATTGATTAAATGGTGAATACAAGAAAACAAACCTTCAAAAACGTGTGCTTCATATCTCATATTGTTAAAAGCATTAATTATATCTGGATCATTGGNCAATTCTTGAATGTCATTTGCCATTTCCTCTGTATAGTGTCGTGTGGCATCCCTGTCACTTCCTTCANCCTGGAAACTCTTTCATTGTTTTGTGGAAGCAATCTAGCAATATTTCCCTTTTCTTTCAGCAGATCCACCAAACTATCAATAGTATGTATTAAATTTCCGTAAATAGTACTCTGATAACGTAAAACTTCTTGATGTGTAAATCCACCAGTTTCTGTAATTTTAATTTGTTTGAAAAGGGTACCTATATTATTATTATAATTATTAAGTATAAAAATACAATTTAAAGTAATAATATTATTAGAAAGTTCATACGAAATTAAATCTTCAATAAACAAGAACAACAAGTACTACTTACTTTTACCACTATCACCACTTCCCAATAATAATATTTTCAAATCAACGGCAGCATTATCTGTAGCTTTAGGATCAGCAGTAGCATTAGAAGGTGAACCATTCACTCCTCCATTCGTATGATGTCCTTTTGAATTATCTGTTTTTGTTGTTTTATTGTCGTTGCCTCTTTGAGAATTATCATTGGGAGGACTTGGTTTTCCAAAACAATTTCCCATTATTATTAAAATTTATAAAATTATAATTATATGATTGATGTTATTGTTGTTGTTGTTGTTGTTGTTATATTAGTAGAGCGGAGAGGCTTTGTGTTTCTTATCACTTTTTGATGATGAAAAAAGTAGCGAGAGCTCGAGAGAGGAAGGTTTTGTTTTCGCGCTTCTTTTTTGATGATCAAAACAATTTGTATGTAGTTTTTGAAAGAAGTTTGCGCGCGAAGAGTGTGTTGTTTCGTATTTGAAGAGACGAAAGAAAACTAATGTTCTTGGGATTGAATAGATGATGGAATAATGATGTATCCAAGAATGTGTTGAAACTGTCTGTTGGATGTTGAAATTTTTTTAAGAATTTTTTGACAGTTTATGTGAGTGGAAATTTGTTGTATGGTGGATAAGAAACTGAACACAACTGCGTGAACAAGGAACTGTACAGATCAAAAGTGTTATCATCACAGATAATCAAAGTTCCTATTTTTGGAGTTTGTAAGTGACGATGAATAATCTAAAGTTTTCAAAATTCCATTAGTTCATTAAAAAAGATTTCTATATAATAAGATGATTTTTTTAGATTTATTTCAAATTTGTGAAAATAATAAATTAGTTAATGCCGACATACTTGTCTCTGTGTAATCTGCTTGCCAAAATAACTCCAATTGGAATCAAGAGGAACAAGAAGAGAGAAACAAGGATTTGAGAAATGGCATTACCAAGAGTACCAATGCCCATAACTCCACAAAGATCTGTGTTGACTTCTTCAATAGCCTTACTCATAAAGCTACAGGTGGTTCTATCCTTCAAATCGTTCAATAACAATCCAACAGTTTCAGCACTAGGAACCAAAACATTAGCATCAACTGGCAAATTGGAAATGTAATTAATCATAAAGGTAGATCCCAATTGGTATCCTTGTAAAAATTCAGGATAGGAGGTACCAGTGAAATAGGATTGAGCATCATTGTATTGAATATCATTAGTGGTTTGAGCTTCTTGGATCAATTTGTTCAAGAGTGGAGTCATTTCATTTTGGAATTGGGTAATTACTTGCTTGTTAGCTTCATAATCTTCATACAAGGTATTGTTATTTACACGTGACTTGAGAGCTTCAAGTGCTGTTACGTATGATTGGAGAGTATTACCAACAGCTGCAAGATCTTGTTGGATGAGAAGCATGTTTTTGAAGAGTGTTTGACCATTATTAGCAACATTCATAGCTTGCTCAGTAAAGTTCAATGATTCCATACCAGAAATGAAGGCATCAAAGAATTGATTGTAATCTTCAACTGTGGCATAGTGACCTTGTTGAGCCAATTGAATAGCATCGAGAACATTTTCTTGGGCATCAGCTTCTTGATCGAAATTCTTACCACCACAATTCATAAAGAATCTGGTAACATTAATGACAAATGTATAATTGTTAACAAAAATGTTTGGAGTATTAGAATTAATGTCAGAAAGGCCGAGGGAGCTTGGTTGAACCTTAACTGGTTCAGAATGCTTCAAATTATTTGGATCGAACAAGTCACCCTTGTGAACACAATATGGAGCAATAGCCAATGATACGGCAATGTTAACAGCAGCAAAGAGAACGAACCAAACCAAAAGTGAGCAGCTGCAACAGCATGTAATATTCAACAAGGCATTACTTCTTCTAGTGAGACCAATACCAGCAAACAATGCAACACAAATACCAATTGCAAAGAAACCAATAAAAACTGACATGTACGTGATTTGGAAATCAATAAATACAGTATTTCCATCAGAGTAGGTGAGTAAATAGTCCAATACAGTTTGGAATTGACCCATTTGATCTGGAATGGTTGGAGCATTGATTGCCAAAGGAACAAAGACTTCACTATACATTTGATTCCACTTGGAGTAGGTGTTACCAGAAAAGACTTCATTGGTATAATTCAAATGTTCAACAAGATAACTGGTGTTTGACAAGGCATCTACGAGGTTTTCGTGAGCAATTAACATTCTGGCAACCAATCCGTTTGGCATCAGAGCTTGATAATTAAATACGTCATCCAAATTGAAAACATCAATAGAACTCTTTGAAACAATATTTTGATACTTTTGAACAAGAGCATTGATTTCAGTTGAGTTTTCATAGAGACTCTTTGTTGCTCCATTCAATTGATCATAAATTAAATATTCCAAATGAAGTCTATCATTATTATCAATTACTGCATTTTCCAAATAGGCCTGACCATTTTGAATGGCTCCTTGTACAAGAGTTTGAATCCTTGGAATGTATTCAACAAATCCAGTCAAGTTGGATTGATAAGTAGTGTTAGACATGATGGTAGCTGTTTCATTGATAGCATTTCTAGCCTTTTCCAATGAAGTAATCAATGGATCAGCTGCTCTATCCAGACCAACATAGAAAGCTACAGAGAAACCAACACCTGTTGTTGTTGTTATTTAAATGTTGATATGATATCGTTATTTGATGAAGAATTTCAACAGAAAATTAAATTCCAAAATATTATTCACATATCATGATGAGCAAGGTTAATTGTTGTGTGAATAAATTATTATCCATTACAAATAATAATATTATAGTAAAATAAAGTTATCTAATTATTCTAGTTATTGAAAACATACCTGCAAGACAAACAACCAACAAGAACAAAACAATACAACAATATGAAAGTCCACAAGTTCTAGTAACAAGACCATCAGAGCTCACTCCATCAAACAAGGAATCTCCTCTATTTTGGAAGTGCCTAGAGAGTGGTTCTTCACCAATTCTTTGATAGTTCTTTCTCTTTGAATCTCCTCCAAATAAACACTTGCAAAAATTGATCACTGCAAATACAACCCACGATAAGATGGTGAGTATAATTCCGGATACAATGGTCAGAATAAAGATGAGCAAAACGAACTATTCATATTCAACCCATCAAAATAATTCCATATTATAATAATAACATATCCATCATCATCAAGAAAATTGTTGAATAAAAAGATAATGACAATTAAAAACAACAATAACAACAACTTACAAATAACCAAGCTCTCCAAGCACACAAATCCATATTATCGGGCAGACTAGCCGACAAGACAGCATAATCCCCACACATTGTATCATTGAAAAATGGTAATCCAGGAAAACCACCTCCATTATATGCCTGTACACTTTGCATCAATACATTATACAACCCCTCCGAGGACGATGACAAGAAGGAATTGCCCTCACTCAACACGATCGTGTTGGCAAAAATCTCGTGGGCCATTTTTTTAGATTTGATTTTGGCGCTAAATTAGAATCTTGGATTTTTTTAATTTGGAGCGAAGTGGAAAAGAGTGGAGTGAAATTGTGACCTTGATACAGTATTCGAAAGGAATAGGTCGGAGTTGGGGTGAAAATTGCATAGTTCTTTTAAGGTTTGCTGAAGGTTAAAAAAAAATTGAAACAGATTGCAATAATTGGATACCCATTGCCTGGAGTTGAACCAGGATCTTGTGAGAACTTTAGTCTTGTTGGACTGAGTCACATGTCCTAACCATTGGACTACAACGGGTTATCTATCATTACAAAAAATTTGTACCTCTTTTTTTAGAGGATGAAATTCTGATCTAGGTCATTAACAGAAATTTGTAAATTCATTAATATTTGAATATACATGTTTATTGACATGATTCAATCATAAAATTCGTATAAATTACATTAGCATTTTGTATTTAATCTGAAAGATTACGATAAATTTCAATTTTTAAGTGCAATAGTAATTTTGAATCCTTTCATATCACCTCCTTCATTGCAGTCCATATCAAGAAAAGTCAATTGTTTCAACTCGTTGATCAATTTAGCTCCTTTGTTACTAATATTGTTGTAACTAATATTGAGCTCGGTCAATTTTTCCAAATTTGGTAATTTCTCTATCCCTTTATCTTTTATACTATTCTGGGAAACGTTGAGAGTTGTTAAATTTGTCAACTCACAAATATATTTCATGCCTTCACTTCTAATAAGGTTTCTGGAAATATTGAGATATTTCAATTGCTTCATTTCACTAATCCATTTGGCACCTTCCTCTTGAAGAGAATTATCACCAATATTGAGATGAGTTAATTGTTTCATTTCAATTAATAATTTTGCATCATCTGAGAAAATATAATTGGAATTGATATTAAGATGTGTCAAATGTTGCAATTCGTTACTGAAATTGACAAGTCCTACATTGCTAATTCGATTTTCATAAACATCAAGAAAAGTCAAGAGTTTCAATTGACTAATGTGCTTGGCTCCTTCATCTCCAATATCATTATTACCAATATTGAGATAAGTCAACTGTCTCAATTGATCACCAATATATTTTGCTCCCGTTTTACCAATTTTGTGAGTAAATTGGAGGTATTTTTGGTATTCTTCATAATCTTGTTCTCTTAGATGGTCCAAATAATCAGGATCTTCTAATTCATAAGCAATATCAAGCTTTGTTAATTGTTTAAACAAACTAAACCTTTCACATTCGAAACTCTTGACAAATACATTGATGTTCATGTGAAAAGTTTCGACATTTTGTAAAAATTGACCATTCACTTTCTTGTCATTTCCACAACTCAATTCCACTTTCAATCTTTCTAAAATGACATTTGACCACTGTTTTGAAACCAACGCACAATTCATTACAATAAATGGAAAATCATTTTTGTGAAATGACAAAATGTCATAAAGAATGTCATCTGAGAAGATATTTTCTTGATGGGAGAGTTTCTTCTTTTTTAAATCCATTGATTGGTTGCTGAGCGGATCATGGCTTGTTGTACGTTTGCTCATTTTTTTTTGTTGGCTTGTCACAATGTCAATGATGGTTGGAAATTTGGACACGTGGTTGGCTTGTCACAATGTCAAGATGTCAGAACCAATTCCTGAAGTGGGTTGATTGAAGGAAATTTTGTATGCTTAACATCAAAAAATGAATCTAACCAGTTTTTGGAGGGAAAAAATCATCAGTTTATTGAGTGTCTAAAGATTTTGGCAGCTACCATGAGGAACAGTAGTTCAGCGGGGAGAATATGGGGCTCTCACCCCCAAGGTCGGTGGTTCAAATCCATCTTGTTTCTCTTTTATAACATTTTTTAATTAATAGAATCTTCACTATTGTTTAATTTCAACCATAAACTTGATTGTGCATTGAGCTGAGTTATACACTATAAATTCATTATTAAGCAAGAATCCATTCTTTGCTTTTGCAAATAATGAATCATAATCTTGTCCATTATAATTCGTCAAGGATTCTTCTGTGAAATCCGAAAGTGTGTGATCCCAATTAGTAACTTCCAATTGTTTGCCAACATGTACATCAAATACAGCAAGATAGGCCTTATCTGAAGAACCTCCTGCCCAATAGGATCCTGTGAAACTGGTATATCCGAGAGATTTCTTGAATTTGTCGGCTTTTTTGGTTATTGAAATAGGTCAGTAATGAAATAGAAACTTACCGAAATAATTACCATGTCC